CCACTCCATCTCTGTCATCTCCAGCCAATCAGTGAAGTAGATCACTCCACAGCATTTAAACTGTAAAACAACCACACACACCTTAGCGACCATAGTGTGTGTGTCTGTGTGTGTGAGAGTGTGTGTGTTCTACCTCCGTCTGGAAGGTGTTCCAAGTGTGTGTCAGCCACTGGTAGCGCTGCTGGCCATAGTTTGGCATCCGAGTCTTGAGACTGATCACGTCTGAGCGATGCACTGGGGGCTACACACACACACACACACACACACACACACACTCATTGGTCCACTGGTAATCACACAAATCCGCAGGTGTGTCCACTCTACTGCTGATAACTATCTCACTACATTACCCACAACCCCCTGCAGGCAGGTGACACCTGGAGACACAAAGAGCTTTATCTGTTCAAACACAAATAAGAGCTCTGATGGAGATGACACTGTCCCTGCATCTGCCGTCTGCAGTTAAACACAGTCCTCTGTGGTGAAGACGATCGTCACAGTGTGTGTGTGTGTGTGTGTGTGATCGGTAAACAGCAGCTGTCTCACATGTTTGTATATTCTTAGACGAGAGTTTCACTGGAATCAGCAGCAGAAAATATCTGAACCTACAGCAGCTGCTGCTTCCACACACACACTTACACACCAACAGCAGGGGGCGCTGTAGGGGTTCCTCACCTCTTCGTATGTCCAAACAGCACTGGACAGCTCGATGCAGAAGATCACCAACAGGCTGCACAGGTACTGCAACACACACACACACACATACACACATTAATCATTAGGTGGACCATAGTTTGAGAACCGCTGCATTAGAACCACTAAGAGTTAAAGGGAAGATAATTGTACCTTCACCTTCTAGTACAGACGGACCTTTGATATAGATGAATATGTAAAAGTCATGTAAAAAGGCTAAAATGCTTTTAGCTTTTTCTACGCCATCTATTGGGGAAATGCGGGGATTTACTATAATTTAATAATGTAATTTGGACTAGTTTGGCGGGCCAGATTAACCGACCAAATGGGCCACATCTGGCCCTCGAGCCTTAGTTGTCGTGCCTGTTCTAATATTTCAATTTTGTTTGTTATTTCTTTGTCCATTTATCCATGGAAAAAGTCACTTTTATGACTATTGTTAGTAAAACTACTAACATATTTATAATCATTTGTTATAAAGTTTTCATAGTTCAATTTTACTGTGTAAAGATTCGATCCAGCTCTAGGTCTGAAAGCACCAGCTGCTACACAAGTGCATCTGAAATGTTTGAAAAACTGAGTCAAATGTCCGCACAGTCTCAGAAGAACTGATCCGTTTCTCCTTTGTTAGCGTCCGGAGCAGCTGGTGGTGGAGCCCAGTGGGTGCAGCCGACAGTCCCGGGCCTTTGTGTCCCACTGTCTCATCTTTCGGGGACACAATGATGGGGGCGCCACTGTAATCTGAGACACCTGACACCAAGTCCCACCCACTCAGGTGTCTGCACAAAGACTGACCCCCCCTAGTGACAGCAGGTGTGTCCATCACTTTGTGTCGGTGTTTGCCTGATGCTGTGTTCGCTGACTCACCCAAGAGAGCAGCAGCAGGTCACACCTGAGCACGCCGCAGTAGCCCACCATCGCTATGATGACCAGGAAGCAGCACACGGCGATGATGACGGGATGGACGGCCGGAGAGTACGTGAGGACGGCTGCTTCCTCCAACCTGGACACACACCGATCATGTGACTTGATGTTTGACGGTATATCGGGTGAAGGCGTCGCGATGCCTCGGCGGAACTCACCTGGTGTGAGCTGTCAGTGTGAGGACGGTGTTCAGAGAGTCCCTGATCCACGCTGCCACTCCCAGCACACAAGCTGACATCAGCTGAACACACACACACACACAGGGACGGATCAGTTTCCACTGCCTACAAATAACATCTTGGAATGTGAGCCGTGTCTCGCAGACACAGACGGACGGCCTAGTTCCACTACAAACATTTGCTTCCACTGTAAATGTTTAACTCTCACTGTAAACGTTCTGCCATTCATCGCCGCCGCGTCACTGTGAACCTCAGGTTTTACACGTTACAATTCCATTAGGCTTCGTTTCTCACACTCCACCATGAACTGTTCATCGGTTATTTTCATAGATCGCTCTCAGTGTGTTTTAGTTGAATTATTTTCAGTTTCACTTTCACGGTAGAGAATATCTGTAGCTGTTACACTGAACATTTTGCAAAACTGTTGTTGTAAACTCACTGTGAATGATAATATTCACTACAAATATTATTTTGATTCATGGGCCACATAAAACCTAATTAGATGTAAAGTGGGCCGCACCAGTGCAATCATAACATAATTACTTGTAAAAAAACAAAAAGTCTGTCCTTTTTTTCTTTGTTTTCATTTAAAAAGTACATTAGATAAATCAAGTCATATTTATTGACATAATTTCACAATTTTCTGAACATGACGATTTTGTTTATTTTCAGAATTTATCAAGCGGGCCGGATTGAAACCCCAAGCGGACAGGTTTTGGCCCGCGGGCCGCATGTTTGACACCCCTGTAGACCTGTTGTATTAATACTACACTCTCAGTTAAATTTCACATCTTTTACTGCAAACATGTTTCTCTGTATAGCTGAAAACTAAAAGTAAATCTTTATCTTCAGCTATGTTGTTGTTATCTATGACGATGACGGTGATGATGATGATGAAGGTCATCAAAAGTGCCTCCACTCACCCAGAACAGTAGATTGAGTGCGTAGAGCAGACAGCGCAGACACCTCACCGCGTCCTGTCGCGCCATCCCGACCCACTCACCTGAGCCCGGGACACCATGACATCATCAGAACCCGGTTCACCAACAGCACATGTCCACAGTGAACACACACACACGCCTGCTGCGTTGTCGCCCTCACTCGAGCCTCCTCTCTGTGCGTAAAAAGCGCATTCCGCTCCGCGTCTCTCTGTCTCTGACTCGGCTATATCCGTTGTCCCCTTTCTGCAGTTCGGGTTTCTTCGTCACCAGATCCAGAACTCTTCCACAACAACAGGTGGTTTCTCAATTTGCCCCAGTCCCGCCTTGGGATGGAGCGCGCAGAGCTGTCGTTACCAAATCACCCGTCAGGTAACGGTCTGATCACGGACTGCAGAACCAAACTCGACCAAAACTCCTCACCCCAGACCACGGGTTTGACTCTGTCCCAGAGATTTGACACCAGTTCTTGCTCGTGACCCAGATCCAGCTCTCCTGCGGCAAGGCTCGGAAGCTGATCCCGTGGAGTCAGAACCGTGTTGGTCCAGTCTGTCTTCCTCTGTCTCCTGCTGTTGCTTCTTCTTCCTCCTCACTAATTGAATCCGCAGCAGAGGCAGGAGCAGCGGGAGCCGCTCCTTCCTCATCCCCCCTCCCACCTCCTCTCTCCTCCCCCTGCCTCCCAGAGAGTCCTGGGGGAGGACAGAGGAATGTGAGGACTGGAGTCAGAGGGACAAACAGCCTGAAGAGGAAGAAGAGACACAGACATGTGGAGGCCTCTGCTGGCAACACCGACACAAACACACACTGTCCTTTAACTTTTTTTTTTTTTTTTTTTTGCAGAAATGGAAAAAATTCTGGTGTTTATAAATCTTTGTTTAATCCAACCACTTTTTTAAATTTATTGAAATATTTCTAGCTAATCCTTGAAAATATTTTCCAAATCTCTTGAAGAACATTTCGAAATCGAAATCTTAACTGTTGATTACTTCACGACCTGTCAAACATTGACAACGTCATGTCTCAATTTGTTTAAATCATTAAATCATTTTTAAATGCCGCTGAATGGAGAAACAGCAACTGACGGCACTCCTGACCTTCAGGTACCCAGCACCACAGGCTGAAATACAGCACCAAACAAAAACAGAGCCTCTGTCCTAACGCACTCAAGATTCTAACTCCTGGCATAATTTGTATTCGTATTTTAGCCCGTGAGCCCAGAACGTAGCAACACACTCATAAATGACAGATCATAATGTTGACTTAAAATAGACATAGCAAAACAAAGTAAAATAGTAGAAATCGTTTTGTTGTCATTTTATTTTTATTTATGATACAAATTATTGGTAAGAATTGATCGTAAAGTCTGTTTATTAGCATGTTACCAATTGTTATTATTATCCAATAGTGCATTTATTTGTTTTTAAATTGACTTTGTGTCCACATATAGAGTATACATATTTTGTCTGTTTATTATTTAATTGCGGAGAAATAGTGTCTTAATAGTTTCATATGGTTTAGTCTTTTTTTCACGATGTAAATCGTTAAAATCTATAGTCGTATATGACGTATAAGTTACGTCGCTACGTTTTAAATCGTTAAAATCTATAGTCGTATATTACGTATAAGTTACGTCGCTACGTTTATTGAATTGAAAACATTTCAATGTCCGGTTGTGTTGTACAATTACATCTGAACTTCACTTCCCGTGAGTCATCGCCCCATGGCAGCGCAAACTAAAGCACAACCAACCAAATAACGAGCAGCCTCTGACGTCAGCTTCCCTGACCTCAGTACTGCGGCGTATTTTTTTCTGAGCGACATCGCGGTTGAAGGCGCCATATTGAAAGAGCTGAATTTTTTTCTATAACGCGTCAAACTTCGACTTTTACACCATGTTGTATTTAGAGGATTACCTGGAGAGTGAGTATTACACTGTAACGGGGCAGTGATGGTATTGTTGGTGCCTTTCATATGGTAAATGTGGGATTTTTTTCGCCTTGGGAGGCCGCGGCCGTTAGCCTAGCCATGCTAATATGCAACGCCTGTTCTTCTTCTCCTGGCAGTGATCGAGCAGCTTCCCATGGATCTCCGCGACAGGTTTACGGAAATGAGAGAGATGGACCTGCAGGTGCAGAGTACGTAAGGCACAGTGCCGGTAACACAGCGGCCAAAAACACAGAAAAACACAAAACTACAATGGTTCATCCAGGAACTGATAATGACAACACTGCCTTTTCTCAAAATCTGCACTGTTACCTCACGTTAGCTGCGCTGTAAGTGTGCTGTTTGACCGAGTTTGTTCTAAAAGCTAGCAACAACGCTAAAGTGGCTATTAGCCATTCATTCATTCATTCAGACTATCAACTATATTTTGCACGTATAGTAACCACAATGCAACATAGGCAACGAACTACTTAAAGTTAAGTTTGAGCGGATTTGGAATATTTAATAAACCCATTTGCAATAGTGCGTTTACCTTTGTTTTTACATCTCGTAATTCCTGTTCACAGCAGTTTTATGATATTTTGTATTATAATAGTTTGTTATAATAACCCATTTTTATGAATATAGCATCTTTGAACTGTTTCAAAATACTGTTTAAAAATACAGGTGTTTTATATTTATTGATTATATATAGCTGTATTTGCAATTTTTGAAAACTTTGTTGTTACACATTGTTAGACCAGTCTGTTGCATGTTTTTACACGTGACTATGCCTTAATTTATAATTTAGAATGTATACACAAATGCAAATTAGACAACATTTTGTTGTGATTCAAAAATTAAACTATACTCTTGGTATTTTGGTGATATTACTTTAATATAATACTCTTTAAATGTTGAAAGAAATATTAATATGAGAGCTGCATTGGTTTTGAAAGATTGGACTTTGACAGTTGACATGTTTTAAAACAAATTATTATCATCACTTTTGTTTTCCACAGCAGCCAAGCTCATTTCCTTGTGGTTTGTTGAGTATGTTTTTTCTCCTCTTCTGTCTCAGATGCCTCTGATCAGCTGGAGCAGAAAGTGATAGAGTTTTTTGTCAATGCTAAAAAGAACAAACCAGAGTGGAGAGAAGAACAGATGGAGCTTATTAAAAAGGTTGATCTTATTAAAAAGACCATGCTGATTGCTTTATGTCTGACTGCTTAATGGTGCTATTTTTAGCAGCAACACATGCTGGCTTAAATATTGAAACTATTTTTCCTGATTTGTGATGATACCTAAATTATTGAGTTTGTTTATCTAAATCTACATATATATTCCTGACTTTTCGGTGTTTACTGTTGAAAGGATTACTACAAAGCTTTAGAAGATGCTGATGAGAAGGTGCAGCTGGCCAATCAAATATATGATCTGGTAAGATTGGCAGGATTTCAATTACAGAGGTCAACTTACTGTCAAACCATTGTTTTTATTTTCTCTGATGATGTCATGGTTGATTGACAGGTGGATCGACACCTACGTAAACTGGACCAGGAACTGGCCAAGTTCAAGATGGAGCTGGAGGCCGACAACGCTGGAATCACAGAGATCCTGGAGAGACGTGAGTCAATTAAAGAAAGACAGAGACGTCTGTGCAGTTTACAATTGTCTATAGTGATATTGAGTCCTGTGTCTGTACTTCCTTTTCCTCTTTTCAGGATCTTTAGAGATGGACAGTCCGTCGCAGCCAATCAATAACCACCACGTCCACTCTCACGTCACAACAGAAAGTAAGAAAAACTCGTGTCATTTTACTCTTTCTGTTCAACTGTGGCGTTTTAAAGCGTTTAGGGTTTGATTTGCAGACAGAGGTGCTTAGCCTGTCTTTGTCCTGTAGATGGTGCACATGTTTTAACAGTATATAATGTGTGTTGGAGCAGAGAGGAAGTACAGCGTTCCAGCTCACCATACAACAGAACACGTTCCTGAGAAGAAGTTTAAGTCTGAAGCTCTACTGTCCACTCTCACGTCAGACGCATCCAAAGAGAACACGCCAGGTTAGTCATCACACCCCGACACACCTAAACTCTGAGACCTCTCCCACACACAATGTTTTACCGACTCCTGTTGCCTCTGCGACCCCTACAGGCTGCCGTACAAACAGCACCACCTCGTCCACCAACAACGTATACAGCGTAAACTCCTCTCAGCCACTGGCCTCCTACAATATGAGCTCCTTACCTGCAGGACCAGGAGCTGGAGCAGGGGCCATCACCATGGCAGCTGCACAGGCTGTACAGGCAACAGCACAAGTAAGAGAATCACTCATTTTTTTATTTTAAATTTTTTTTTGTTTGTTAGACTCTTGTTTGTTACTTGATTTGTGTGATTTTTGTGTTATTTTTATGAGTTGATTTCAATTGTTTAATGTTTCTGTGTGTGTCTGAGCCTGAGAAACTCTTTGGTCAACATTGATATTAAAAGTTATTGGCTCTGTGTCAGATGAAGGAGGGCAGGAGAACATCCAGTCTGAAGGCCAGCTACGAAGCCATCAAAAACAACGACTTCCAGCTGGGCCGAGAGTTCGCTCTGTCCCGGGACAACACGGGTTACCCTTCGTCTGCCCTGGCCTCCACCCTCACCCAGACTCTAACCCCCACCACCACCTCAGACTCCAGGGGCCGCAAGTCCAAGTAAGAGCTCAAATGTGTTTTGGATGTTTGTCCTGAAAAATGAAACAGTGGTACAGCTTGTCCTCGAGCTGCGGTGTTTTGTGGTTATGTCACCATTTCCCATAAGTCGTTACGCAGCACTGTACGATGAAGATGAGTTTCTTCACATTAGCCGGTTTGTGCTGCATTCACTATCTTTCATTTGTGTGGGGTTTTTTTTTTGTTTTTTGGAACTTTTTGCCCTTAGTTATGGCTGCCAAGCATAAGCCAGACTATTGTGATGTTTTTATGCCCTAAATTATGATGTTAGCTCTGTATTAGCATAGCTGAGTGACATGGCTGCTAATGCACAGTATGTGATTTTTTTTTTTAATGGCTGG